AGTCAAAGCTTGTGCAGAGTGTCCACTCGAGAAGGTCTACCCCACACTGGCCTTGGTTCTCCTGCTGTCCTTGCTGCTAGCCCCTGAGCTGCTGGAGGCTGAGGGACACCAGAACCACAAGGTACCTGCCTGACATGAGACAAGACTGAACTACTCTGAAGACCTCCCACATTCTCAGCACAGCCTAGGGCAGGCTGGGCCCCTCTTGTCCTGGCTTTCCATAGCTGGGCCTTGCTTCCGGGGTTGTGGATTTGTGACCAAAAGGAGAAAAGGAGTTGGGATTGGGCATGTCTGAACCCTCCTCCACTAGCGGGAATTGGCGAGCAGCCTCTGGAAGGCAGAGGTTAATGTGCACTCCCTAGTCATTCAGCCTCCCCACCCCAGAACAGGTAAGAAAAAGGAATGACCAACCCCAGGGGACGGGCTGGGAGGGGAGAAAAATATTACTCAAGCAAACCAGATGATATCTTTCTGCGGGTCTTACATCACTCACCTTCCTTAAAGAGCTCAAACTCAGTTTTAGAAGGGTAGGGAACAAGGCCTTTTAGTGTTCAGCTCTGGCATGAAAAAGACTTGAGGCTGGTGGGTATGGATACCAACAGAGTGGAGTGAGCTCAGTTCTGGGCCATGAGAAAGTCTTTGAGATGGATGGTTAATAAACTTCATTAACCCTCATGCTTGAAGATACATGGAATATTCTGGAAGGCTCTGGAAGGTTCCAGCCAGTCTGGGCTCTTCCTCTGCCACTTGGCAATTTCTGGAAATTTCTGTTTCCAGGTTCCAAGACCCCAGGGAATGTCCCTGAGCTCAATCCTCTGTGAGAGAGAACCTGAGAGTCTACATCAATGGGCCCCTGAGAAAGGTCCCACCTATTACAAACCACCAGGGCTTTTTACAAACCAAAACCAAAAAGTTGTCCAAACAGCAAAACTTCTATCCCTTTTTGTAAAAACAGAGAGTTCCTGCCCTTTTAAGAAAGTCTGTTATGTACACATCCTTGTTTAAGAATCGCTATCTCGGGCATTATCCTAAGCTTCCCCCCTTATGTCTGAAATATAAAACATAACCGAGGAGCGGGGAGGGACTAAGGCTTATTGAATCAAGCAGGCCTGAACCGGAGTGGGCTAAAATCTTTACTACTGAACTGTGGTGTGGTCAGTGCAGAGCCAGGGCTAACAACTTGTCCCTGACTTCCAAGGCTAGAGACAAATGGTTCAAGCTGGACTACCTGTTGGTTTCTTCCAATTTATACAAGGATTTTACACAAATGATCGAGGGCAGGAATTGATGGTACCTGCCTTTGTCCAGGGCCTTGCCACTGCTGTAGACTTCTCAAAAGATCCTTCTTGTCTCACATGAAAATAAGGTTTAGACTTACTTACGCTTAGAGCGTGAGCTCTCGTAACAACATACGTTGTCTGCAAGCTCAAAGGGTTGCCTCGGCTAGGAGGCTCACAAAAGGGCAAAGCTGCCCATTTCCACAAAGAAATACACCCTCTCCCGTTTTTTGGAAAAAATGCACGGTCCCTTCTTTTTCCCTCCTTGATAGACAAGGAGCATAGAGAGCATTTCTCTATTATGAGCAAAATGGCCAAGTGTGTAGATCACGGCCTTTTACATTTCCCCTCTGTGGGTGGGCGTGCCGCGAACCCGGGAGCCACGTCCTCCCTAAAAGGCAGATGTTAACAGCTTTTCCCAGGTGCTAGTACAAGTGTGGAAGTGAGCGCAAGGGCGGCAAGTTTTCTCATTTTTTGAGAGAAGTCAGAAATCTAGTTTTTTATACAGTCTCCCGTTTTGAAAGTTGGCTGAAGTTTTTGAAGACGTTGTGCCGGCCAGAGCGAAACACGGTGTACAGGTTGGCTGTGTGGCCTCTGGGACCACGAGCGGCAGCGCATTCTTGGTCCTCCTGAAACAGGTCTTGCCTTGTCTACCAGAAGCCCCCTCCCAGAACTGAGGGTGTGAATACTGTAGGGGCCAAAGCCGGATGGGAGGGAGAACGCACAGGACCCCAGCCGTAAGAGATAGATTGTGTGACACCATGACCATGACCTTGGAGCAAGTGCTCTCTGCACCTGCTGCTTGGGGATTATGGCACTGAGCGTTCTCAGTATATCCAAGTTCACCACGAGGACCCAGATTCAGGTCTCGCGGTCATCCTCACACAGTAACAGAGGAACCCTCAACTGCTTTGCACAAACCCTACAGCCACCAGGCCCACAAGCTGGCCTGAGAACCAAGGTACTGAGGGCAGGCAAGGCAGGCTTTCTCCTAGGATCCTGATCATGGCAGGTGGCAGTGTGTGATCTTGTCACAAGGCTGAGGCATGGAGAAGAGGTAAAGACCAGGATAGAGCCCACTTCTCTAGGGCACTGAATTCAAGACAGTGGATTGAAGGAACACCACTACTTTCTAGTCTCTCTTCCTGCGATCTGGTGACCTTCCAGAAAGGTCTGAGATATGCCACCTTCACCCTGAGGCCATTTCCCCCAAAACGAGTATGGTGGCCATTTACTTGGGCTCCATCCTTGGTGCCGAGGCTTGCGACCGTAAGGACTGTGTGTGTGCGTGCATTACGTTATATATTTAGTGACCAAATGGACAGCTCCCTGGTCTAAGGGAGGTTATCTGTATTCATCTTGGCTCATGCTAGGATCATTACGGAAGGAAAGGTGCACCAAGTGAACAAAATGCCAGAACCTCAGAAGGGAAGCAAGAAATCCTACTCCCTCAGCGCTGGGATCTGTAAAGGATCAGTTCCCCAGCAGTTAAAAAATGTAACAAAGGGCAAGGTTTGGCTCAGGAGAAATAAAGTCCTGATCGAGTCCAAAGACAGTATCAGAATTGCCTACACAAGGACACCTTTGACTACTGTCTTGTCCGTGTCTCCGTGTTCAGGACTCGCGTGAGCGCCTCTCAGCGGCATACTGTACTCGCCCACTCCATACTGTACTCGCCCACTCCATACTGTACTCGCCCACTCCATACTGTACTCGCCCACTCCAACGAGCGCAGCGTGAGGCAGGCTGGGCTGCTCTTACCCTTCTCCTGTCCTAGGTCCAGCCTTCGCGGGAGTTTTAGTTTGTGATCAAAAGGAGAAGAGGGACTGGAGTTGAACATGTCTGAGCCTTCCTCCACTATCTGGAACTTGACAGCAGCCTCTAGAAGGCAGGGATAACGTCCCCGGCCTGGTTCAGCCTCTCCTCCGTAGGGGAGGTAAGAAACTGAGAAAGGAACAACTTAGGGCCGTCTTAGGAGAAGGGGGAAAGGTGGGAAGGGGGGAAATATGATAGGGACCAGTTTGGGGATCCTCCAAAAAGTCTCCCACACATCTCCCCTTCCATAAAGGGCCCAGACTCCATCTTAGGGAGAGTAGAGATCACTCTGGGCTAAAAAACCAAAATGAAAACAAAACACCTGAGGCAGGCAGGATGGCACTGTGAGAGTAGTGTAAGCCTGGTTCTAAGGCCTAAGGAGAGTCTTACAGTTGGATAATTAGTAAACTTTATTGACCACTCTGCCTGGAGTTGCATGGAATGTTCCAGAAGTTTCATAGGGTCTGCCCCTCCCCCAACCTTCTGGAACTTCCTATATACCTCTGTGTTCTGGGACCCCAGGGAATGTTTTTAGCTTTGGCGTTCACGGACAGAACACAAACTCGGGGGGTCTACATAAAGCCACCCATGAGAAAGGTCCCAGCTATTACAGACCACTAGTGCTTTTACAAATCCCCAAAGAACCCCAATCCCTTTTGATAGAAACTCGGACAGAATCATGCCCCAAAGACACTCCCATTATTCCTCCAGGTGCCTGGTTGCAAACCACTGGTTTCTGGCACATTCTACCAAGCCGAACACTTCCCGTTTTTTGTATTCCAAGAAGGACTTGTTTTCCAAATATGAAACATAGTAACATTAAATGTTCTCTCTAAAAGTGCATCTGCCCCTCCCCCCAAACCAAGGCTAACTGAACCTACCAGGTCTGAATCCAAAGCTGGCTCAAATCTTTACCACTGAATCGTATGGTTATAGCAAAGTCCAAAGATTTTGCCCCAACCTCCGAGGCTAAAATCAAAATCATTTCTGAGACACCAATTTCAACTGGCTGTGGCCTTATCCTAATTATTAGGATTTCTCAAGAGCAGTTCTTACTAATATACCAAAGCACCGCTGGCTTGGGTTAGAACCTACACTTCTGTCCTCACTCTTGTGGTAGATCTCTTGCAAAGGTTTCCCTATCCTACAGCTTTACACTTAGCCCCAGTGCATGAACACCTGAGCAGCTGAACTCTCACAGCCCCCCTCACCTCCCCCACCCCACACCACGATCAGGGACACAGAATCAAGAGCCTGACTACTACAGCTCCAGCCAAGTGGTGACCCCAACTGCTTAGCTCCACTTAGAAACCGAGAGAGAAAAAAGCCCCAGCCAGCTCTGAATAAAGAACCAAGTTTCCACCACATGCCTGCTCTCCCTTACAAGTACCGTCGACGCCACGCTCAAGCTGCCAGGTTTCAAGGACTTGACTTGTGAGGTTAAACAAGAGGACAGGCCACCATCCCAGTTTGCTGGATTCAAATTTCCAGTTTGTTGCTGTCTTTCGGGGAAGGGACAGGACTGTACAGTTAGCAAGGGGCAGGCTGGCCAAGGAATGCCCAGGAGACAGGCACACTGTCCCAAGGATAAACTTGACTCTGCTAACATCAGGTTTTAATCCCTGAACCCATTAGAACTATGGATAATAAAGTGTGACAGACCTCAAGAGAGCAAAATGATTTGTTCCTCTGTGGTCATGCCACCGAGTAATTTCTCTGAGATCACAGACAGGCACTCTGGTCCCTTATGCTCTGTGACCTTGCTTTCCCGCTCCCACATGGCACCAGCAGAAGGGGGAGTGGGGCTTGACTGATCATCCCAAAGTGGCAAGGTTGCCAAAGATCCCACTCTTACCCTACATCAGGTCTCACCTGTGGCTGGGGAACTCACAGAAAGACAAGGTTCGTACAACCCCAGAATTTTTCTTTTGGCAGCCAACAATTGGTCACATGGCACGGTTCAAGGTTACACCGGCGCCCCACAGTAGGAACGTGGGGCAGGAGCAGACAGTGCTTGCCCCGAGCTTTACAATAAAGCCAGAGCACGCGTTCCAGAAGTTGACAACATCAGGAAGGCAACCTCTGGAAGCAGGCACCCAAGGGACGCCAGAAAACCCTTCACTCTCGGGCTTTCGGGACTCTTCTTCTCGGGGCCTCTTTCTTGGGCATCGAAAAGCCTTCTTCCCTGGACCGTAGGGGTGGGACGGGCCGGCGGATGGCTAAGCTGGGTGGGCGGGGAAGAAGCGGGGGTAGGCAGCTCCTTCGGACCCCAGCAGAGGTAGACTACCGAAGGCAAAGGGTTCAAGAAGACAGGAAAGGCCATTTTCTCGGGGCTGGCTGGGGCGGCTCCCCTGTCCTCCTCCTCTCTCCGCTTAAAAACGAAAGCCTATGAGGACGAAGGCTGTGAGGAGAAGGAACACAAAAGTCGTGTCTCGGGTCTCGTCCCAGCGGAAGCCCTTCTTGGCCCGGTCCTCCTGCTGCTTGCGCAGGGCCTCTCGCCGGGCCCGCTGGCGCCGCTCGCGCTCCAGCTGCTCTCCGTAGTGCGCTCGGTAGAAGGCGTCGAAGTTGAACATGGTGCGGCTGGCGCCCGCCGCGGCCTGACCGCGGTCGTGGGCCCAAGAGGCAGGTGGCCGGGCGCGGGGCGAGCGGTCATCGCCGGCGGGCCCCTTGGAGGGCCGGACATCAGGTCCGCGCAGGTCCTCGTCGCTGAGCAGGCCGCGGTCATACTTGCGACGCAAGCTGGCACTGCCCAGCACCAAGTAAGCCTGGGAGATGCGCGTGAAGCGCTCGGCAGCCTCGGCGCTCCCCGAGTTGCGGTCCGGATGGTAGAGGAAGCTCTGCCGGTAGTAAGCTGCCTTGATTTGCGCCTGCGTGGCCGTGGAGGGGACGCCGAGCAGCTCGTAGAGCGCGGTGCGCGAGTATGGGCGGTCGCCCTGGGAGTACGTCCTCGCTTGTAGGCCCAGGCCGGATCCCGGGTTCTGTGGACCGGTCGGGACCAGCCACAACCTCCACAGTAACCGCCGCGAACACCTTAGATCGCGCTTGGCTGCCATCTTGGCTGGGACATGCGGGCGGTGCAAGACGAACTGGCCAATGGGAGGCGTGCGTTGTTCGCAGCGCGTCTGCCCTGTCGCCAATCGAGTAAAACCGGAGGCGGGGAGAGGGGCGGAGCATGCGTGTTAAGAGGCGGGCGTGGGGCCGATGACATAAAAGGCGGATTTCCGGGACGTCAATTCCAGTCTCGAGGCTGAGGCGTGGAGATGGCGTTTCGCGGCAAGAGGCCGGAGCACGGCGGGCCCCCGGAGCTGGTGAGAGGCTTTTGCTCGGCGCATACCCCTCTTTCCGCCGGTGGGGCTGCCGCGTCTTGATTCCTCCTCTGCTGCTCTTCTCTTTTTCTCTCCCGCAGTTTTACGACAAGAATGAAGCCCGGAAATACGTGCGAAAGTAAGGGGAGCCCACATGTTGTCGGGGGGTCGGGAAACGGCAGGTTGACCCAACAGCGGGCATGGCTGGGAAAGCGCGCAGGATTGGGGGGCTTCGGGGGGTAGGGAGGGACAAGGACTGATTCCAGTTCTGGACAGTGGGGAAGTCAGCGTTAAATAAAGCTCGGAATCCTCCGGGCCTCCGTCAAGTAGCGTTAAAATGGGGGTGGGTGCTGCGTGCTGTCTCCTGGTGGTTTTCAGAGTTTCAAGTGACCGCTTGTTGGAAGCGCGGGGTAAAATGGGCAGGGGCCGTGGGGGCGTGCAAGGGGCGGTGGGTGCTGCTGAGGGGAAGGAAGGCGTATTCACAGAATGTCTGTAGGTCTTAGGTTCTCGAAGAACTGCGGGTGCGGGGTCCGCAGGGGGGAAGAGTGGAGGGCTAGAACAGGGACCCGCAAGCCTTCCTTTTCTGATGCGCTGCTGTAGAGAGAACTGTTCTCTGCTCCCGTTTAAATTCGAGCCCAAGATCCAGGAGGTCGGCAGAAATCTCTGGCCCGGTTGTCCTTACGCAGCGGCGTAAACTTTTCTCCCCCCTGCAAAGCTCTGTGGGATTCTCTCTCCTGGTCTTGGGGTAGACCCATCTACTAGAGACCCGGTTTTTCTTAGTGGTCGTCATCGACTGAACTAATACTCAGTTTGAATTACTTAATATGAAGGAAATGGACGTGTTGAAATGTTTAGAGTATTACTGGGTTAAGGAAGGCATGTTATCAGATACACGGGGTTGGGTAAACTATTACTACAGTTAATTTTACGTGTTTCATTGTTATCACGGTCCTACGTGGCCTGCACTATATATCTCATAGACAATAGGATACAGATTTTTTTTTTTAAGATTTTATTTATTTATTTGACAGAGATCACAAGTAGGCAGAGAGGCAGGCAGAGAGAGAGGGGGAAGCAGGCTCCCCACTGAGCAGAGAGCCCGACGCAGGGCTCCATCCCAGGACCTTGAGATCATGACCTGAGCGGAAGGCAGAGGCTTTAACCCACTGAGCCATCCATGCGCCCGATAGAGACTTTTGTTGTGCACTGTTGAGCCTTACACAACAGAGCAACTATGGTGGGTAATTCTTGCAGAACATGTGTGGTGGGTTTTTGTTTTTTTTTTTTTTTTTTTAAGATTTTATTTATTTGACAGCGCAAGAGAGGGAACACAAGCAGGGGGAGAGGGAGAAGCAGGCTTCCTGGAGAGCAGGGAGCCCAACATGGGGCTTGATCCCAGGACCCTCAGATCATGACCGGCGCTGAAGGCAAATGCTTAACGACTGAGTTGCCCAGGTGCCCAGAAAGTGTGTTTTTAAGTAACAACCACATCAGAACTTCACTGAGTTGAAAATCCCCAATGATTAGTCATCTCGGTGATTTGTTCCCTTCACGTTAACATTGCGACTGGTTGAGTCATAATTAGTGTCCCCAAAAAAACTTGTTGCGATATTATATGGGTTTGGGGAGTCACATTTATTTATTGACTTAAAGATTTTATTTATTTATTTGACAGAGAGAGATCACAAGTAGGCAGAGAGGCAGGCAGAGAGGGGGTGGGGGGGAAGGAAGCAGATTCCCTGTTGAGCAGAGAGCCCGATATGGGGCTCGATCCCAGCACCCTGGGATCATGACCTGAGCCACCCAAGTGCCCTGGGGGTCACTTTTAAATAGTTGAGTATGGTGACAGGGAAAGTACCTCAGGGGGATTGTTCCTTTTCCTCTTTGTCTGCCTTTTTAAATTTTTTTTTCTTTTTTCTTTTGCTCCGGGTGATGTTTTAGCTCAGAATTTTTTAATCGCTTGTTTGTGTTTTTTGCCTTCCCAGCTCACGGATGATTGATGTCCAGACCAAGATGGCTGGGCGAGCTTTGGAGCTCCTTTGTCTGCCCGAGGGTCAGCCCTGTTACCTCTTGGATATTGGGTGAGATCCTGGGGCCCAGTTGAGGTTGTCCAGGTGGTAGTGGAGTGTCTTTGCTGCTCACGTTTTTGAGCTCCCGTTTGTGTCTTCCAGCTGTGGTTCTGGGCTGAGTGGAGATTATCTCTCGGATGAAGGGCACTACTGGGTAGGCATCGACATCAGCCCTGCCATGCTGGGTAAGTCTGTCCTGCTTAGGCCTGGAACGGACTGCTCTTCGTGAGTGTGGAGCAGTGGGCATCGTCTGTTTCCCTGATACTCTCTTCTCCCATGTAGATGCGGCCTTGGACCGAGACACTGAGGGAGACCTGCTTCTGGGGGACATGGGCCAGGGCATCCCCTTCAAACCAGGTTCCTTCGATGGATGTATCAGGTGAGAAGAGTCTTTGCGTCCTGCTTTTAGTCCTGCAGGTCGGTGCTTTCCAAATTGGCTGTGCTGCAGAGTTACCCGGGATACTTAAAAACACACATCCCCAGGTTAGACCAGTGTCCCCAGTTATGTCGGTTTTTTTGGTATTTTGAAGCTGTCTAGTTCTTTGATCATCTTACGCTGCCAGGTTCAGGTACTTCTGGTATAGATCCTCTGTCCACTTGGGGGTGGGGCAGAGGGGTGGTCTTTTCTCACCTCCAGGAGCCATTTTGTGGGTGCCAGTGGCCATCTTGTTGGCGCCAGCAGCCATCTTGTCGCCTTCTTTTTGAATAGCTCTGCAGCGGAGAGTGGCCCAGAATTTTCCAGTCTCTTCAGTGGTTTGGCCCTTTCTGGGTTGCCAGGGTGAAGTTTGGGACATTTACGTAGTATTTTGATAACATGAACATTGAAATGACTGAAATGTGAAGTTGTTTGTCTTCTGTGGTCAAGTTTTGTTGACTGTTTCGTGTGCTGTGTTGTTGATGGGGTGGAGGTAGGGGATAAGGAAGAAGTCATAACCTTAATCCTTCCCCGGGGGGATGCCTCTTCCTGTGATTGTGGCCTGAGCAGTGGGGATCTGGGTGAGCAGGAAAATTTGGATTTGAAGATGTTTTTTAGGGTTCGGGATTAGTTTACATCTGGGAACAAGACTGGGGAGAAACCATGTTTCAAGGACGGCAGTGGCTTTTTAGTAATGATTGGGTGAGATGTTTTAAGCTGTGGAAAACTGAAGGCCAGCGATCAGGTGTGTATGTTTGAGGAGTAAGTTGTTATTTATTGTTGGTTTTTTTAGAGACGGCATGGCAAACTTCTTACTTTTTTGGCATTGCTTACGTGTAGGACATGGTACCAAACGTTTGTGGAGTTTGTGGAACTACGTAGCTTTTAAGACTCTCCATGGTGTATTAGGCGCTGTAAGACGTGGCCCACACAACTAAACACGAAGTCGAGTGTGGAGTGTGACTGGGGAGTCGTGGAGCCCCCCACAGTGGTGAAGAGAGGCCAGAGAATACAAGGAAGCCTTTAGAAGGAGGAGGGGTTGGGTTGGGCCCTCAAGGCTCCGGGGAATGTGGATAGTCATGGCGAGGGTTTCTGAGCGAAGGAACAGTGTGAACAAAGGGACAGAAGAGGCCGGGGAAAGGAGTCTGGTAGCTCGTGTGGGAAGAATAAGGAATTTTTAAACTCTGCTGAGAAGTGTGGGCTTTATTGAGTAGTCGGTGGGCAGCTGGGGAGTGACAAGATCAGAGCTATGTTTTGGGAAGATTATTTAAGAGGAGAGAAGCGACATTGTTGAAGAAGTGAGGCAGTGAGGGGCGCTGACCCAGGAGAGAGGTAGAGGGAAGTAAAAGCTGGGAGAGGCATTTGGACAGACCGCGGGGCTTGGGGTTCTGTGGGTATGTGTGTGCACAGCAGTGAAGGGGGACCTACCTGAGAGGGGTTTATAATAGGCGCTCGAGGCTTTTAGGTCTGTGGATGGTGAAGACGCCGGGTGAGTACAGTTAAAGGAGCCGACTGAGGAGGGTGAATGAGTGTGTTTGTGTTAAGTATTATAAAGGGGTTTTCCCTTGGTCAGAGGAAGGGAATGAAAGGGGCAGGTGGCAGAGAGCCTTGACATGCCGTGTAGTTTTAAATGCGAGATGCGTGGAGAAGCAAGGTTGAGAAAATACTTGTTCGGACTGGCTGCAAGGAAGTCCGTGCCGGCCTCCTGTTGACCCTTTTCTGTCCTGTTGTAGAATGGTGAGCTGGAGCGCATCCGCACATGCCCAGAAAGAGAACTGTGGGCAGGAGGGTTGGGGCTGCAGGATACGCTGATATTAGCGCCTCAAGGAGGCGGTGGAGGGAGCAGTGCGTGTTGGTCCCTCTCCTGACGGCGTCCCTTCCGTTCTCAGCGTTTCTGCTGTACAGTGGCTCTGTAACGCAAACAAGAAGTCGGACGTCCCTGCCAAGCGCCTCTACTGCTTCTTCTCTTCTCTGTACTCGGTGCTGGTGAGTAGAGCTCTCCTCCCAGTCTGGGCTGGCTGCTTATCCCTCCTGCACGTACTGACGCGCCAGGAAAAGCCCTTCGGATGGGACCACTGGACCCAAGACGGGTGACAGGACTTGACTATGGTTACTTCTGTCCAGGTCTTTAGTCTTAAGAGGATAGCTCAGTGGTCTGACATTCCTAACGAAGCATCGAAGATGCTGGTATCAAAATCGGAGACCGATCACCGGTCCTGTGTCCCCGCTGCACTGTATTTTGATCGGAAGTTGGTTTGGGGGCATGGAGTCCACAG